CCCTGTGCAGAACCATCACGAGAGTCTTCATCAACAAAAGTTCAGGTCTGCAAACCCTGCTAAGGTGGTTCAAGGATTCTCCTTGGGAGAAAGTGCATCGTATTGTCAGGATACGTCCGCTCCTGCAGAACTCAACCAGAAGCCTCTTACTGATTCATCAGAGCTGCACTATCCCCCAAAACTATCCTCAGCACAAAGATGTTGAAGATTTTAACAAGCTAGATTGTCTTTGTGCCAGTTAGCACTCCCAACAAGGTTGACCTGGCAGCCTAAGCAAAATGCAAAAATAACAGGGCCAAAAAATCTCCCATGTTTACAGCAAGCATTACCTCATTAAAAATGCTCTTAGAAGGCAACCTTGAATCCTGCAGAACTGGAATCTGTCAGTGCATCACTCACTTAGCCAGCACCCAGTGAGTGGCGACTCGCCCAGCTCCCCCGCAGCGTCGTGCGAAGAGCTGCGCAAAGAGGAGCGGCGTTAGCCTAAGGGCGTCCCACTGGCTGCAGCCTCGTGCTCTTGAAGGCCCGGTGAAGCAGCACGAAGAAAGTGACACATTACGTAGGGCACGGAGAGTAACACATTTTTAATCTTCCCTTCGTGCAGCAGTTGGGAAAACGCATGCTTTGGCTCCGCATCAATTATCACTTTTATCCTATCTGAACCGCAGAATTCTAGGAAAGGACAGAATAATGATTCCCCTTTTAATTTCCTTCGTTCTGCTTCAGTGGGTGGAGGGACACAGCACCGGCCCCAGTGAATTTATCAAGCATCTTATTTGCTATAGCTCGTGCTTTTCCAAGAGCTCTTCAGTCAGAGGTTAAGTGAACATCATGCCAGCACCAAAGTTGGAAAAAAGTGAATCATAAAACCTAAAATGCCAATAAAAAGAACCTCACATTTTAAACCGTACTCATGATTTATTAAGCCCATGATTACATGCCACGAGTTCAACATATCCGTGGGGTTTGCCTTATGACTCTTGAACATTTATGCTGGAGACCCTGGCGGTGCTGGACAGATCCTAGGAGCCTCTCCCAGCTCCGTCTGGCCTTGCCTTAGGAGAAATTCCTATGACTGCAACAGGACCGCTTTAGATTTCAAGTGTAGCAACTTACTAAACAGCAACCGATCTCATTAAGTCACGGGTGATGTGTTTCAGTGATCAAAGCCCAGATTCAACAGTAGGAGCCCATGAGTCACGTCGACCGCTGCCATTCTAACTGCTCCACTGATGATTTCCAATGCAATACATCCCTCTGTGTTTGTTGTCTCCAGCTCAGCCTGCAGTCCCAACAGCTTACCCCTAAGTAGTCGTCCAGCTGAAAGATGATTTTCGGAGTGCCATTAAAACATAGAGTGACGGAAATATTCTGCTTACACTGAGGAACCTGAAGCTCTTTAAGCTTACACAACCAACAAACAGGATTTTGACAGACTAGTCGGATGTACAGAAGGTGCACAGGCTCTGGCTCCATGGGAGCAAATCACTGTATGCACAAACCTCCTGGGGTCACACCAGTGGCCACACCGAGTGCTCTGCAAGCAGATTGCTGAGCGCTTCAACAGTGCAGAGCTCTCAGTCTGCTGAAGAACCCTCCAGAGCGTGAGATTCAGCTGGGAAAGAGAGAGAAAATTGGGAAAAAGGAGCGATTGAAGATGTGCCTAAGATCTTCGTCATAAAACCACTGGTGCTCATTTATTTGCTGAAGGTTAAGATGGAGAAAACATCCCTGAGCCAGGAAAACTGCCAGTTGTTATTTTAATACTTACCCAACTCAGTGTTTCTCCACAATCCACAAACAAGAAAACCAGAGTATCTAAGAGCAAAAAACTACTTATTTTATACACTTGGGAACATAATCTAAGAAAGGGTTGAAGAGCTTCGCTATCAGGTTCTTCAGTAAACAAAATTTAAAGTACTGGTATTCAAATTGTCCAGGCCTTTGGGAATGCCAATGGAGTTTGACATTTTAGGTATTTGGCCATGGTTTGGCTGCACAGACTCCGCTGGCTCTTCAGTGACACCACACAGCGCCCTGAAATTTTATTCTTGGAGATCAAGAGTTGCTTACAGCCCATCGGGACAAACCGGCTATCGACCCCCAAAAAGGCAAACACAGCTGACAGACACACTAAGGTTTCCCTTCCCCGGCAGGGAGAATTTATGGCTGTTCAGGGTACAGTTACCCGCTTTCTTCCATGACACGACTCAGACTGTTTGCTCAAACCCAGAGCTGCTCAAGTCTTCTGATACGCTCCAGCGTCCATTCCTGCGTTTACAGCTACTGAGAGAGAAGGCGCACACTGTTATGCATTAGCTTCCCAAAATAGCTAACTACCAGTCTGGGTGGCTGACTGGGCTACACAAATTGCAACCCAAGGCTCCTTGCCTCTGCCTACCCCACCCCACTCCCTATTAAAAAAAAATAAAATAAAATTATGTTCGTATTAGAAACTATCAATTATGAAGAAAATAGTACATCCAGCTGAGAGCCAGCTATTCAGCAGCTTTTTATAAATAAATCCTGCTGCTGAGAAAGCACCAGTGCTGATGTAACCACGCACCAGTCCGGCAAGCGCAGCTCTGCTTGTGGCCACTGGTTTCAGTGGTCAGTGTTGCTATCCCAAAGGCAAAGATGACTTTCAGCACATTCAGTACTTCAGAAGGCAGGAAAACAGACTTGGTAACATCTCCTTACGCCTTGTTTTGTGGCCTGCTGGAGACCACTTTCCCTCAGAGCCAGCACTGCTCTATTTTTTTAGGACCAGCTGAGGCTCTAAGAGATGTGCTGCTGATGAGCCACTCCTAGGACGAGCTGGACTCAGCAGCCCAAATCCTCTGCTCTTGACATCCGGCAGTGTTAAGATCAGAAATCAGCCTCACAGAAAAGAGGGGCATGAATGTCTGACTGACCAAAGGTCCTAATTCACAATAAATAATGTCATGCATTTAATAAGCTGATGGGCTCATCTCTAAAGAACATCTAGGATTTTCCTACTGAACGCAGACATCAACCTAGAAATTGGAACAAATTAAATGCAGAATGTAATACTATGCTAAAGGAAATTGAATAAAGACAAACAAACATTTATATGCGTACAGCCTCTGTTGACAATCTTCGTGCTGTGAAATTGACAGTTTATATATTTCTCCTTTCCACTTCAATGAAATCCAGGGCCCAAAGCCCTAGCCAGAGGCAAAGTGACTTTAAACTATAGGCTTCCTGTTCACCTTCTATTTAAGAAAAGCTTCTGAGAAACTTCTGAGTAAAACACATTCCTGAAAGCACTCTGTATTTCCCTACTCGTAGTTTGCTTTTTCTGTGCTGCGCCTCTGAATTTCCAGCAGCCCACCAAGGAAGGGCTGGCTACTCAGGGGGGCAAACCGGTAGCATAGACTTACAAACCTACGCCTCCTGGCTAAGCTCACCCCCGTGTGGAAGGCAGGTCTGTCCAACAGGGAAAAATCAGAGGTAAAAAAAGCTCGGCCTAGAGCAGGCACCAGTGCACACAGCAACCACATGATCTAAACTGGCAGGAACTACAAAAAAAACCCAGCACACCTAATATAGACCCGGCTTCAGTGAGCGTGTGGTGCGTTCTCTCTGTTCTTCCAACATTTTTTCCAGGAGAGACAAAATGTGGCAGTCTGCTCTTAAAAGAAAAGCAGATTTAAGAACAGAAAAGCCATGGGGTGGTGAGGGACCACCGAAACCAAACACACGCATTCATGTCTCCTAAATAAAGGTGAACAGAAAGAAAATTTACTGGTTTGTTTCTCTACATAACCTTGTCCTTAAGAAATAAAAGAAACGCTCATTTCTTTCTCCTCGAAAGCTCTGTATCTAAAAAAAAAAAAAAAAAGCCAGCCTTCCCCCACCCCCAAATGACCCAGCTACCTCCACAAAAGAGAACAAACTCTTGATGAAAGAGCACACCAGGGAGCAGCTTGTCACAGGTCTCTGGGAATCTGATGTTGGCTTCCAGACTGGCCTTTCCCTTGGCAATGCGCAAGGCTGGAGTGCCGGAGGAGGCAGCTTCTAGACGAAGCTTATTCAGGTGAAGAACATCCTCTTTGCCTAACACCACCCCTCAGCTGGGAGAAGCAGCCAGTCCCTTCCTTCAGGAGCATGGGGGAAGTACGGAGATCCTCTGGAAACTACCAAATTTATGTCAGGCATGCAGGAGGTCGTACGGCATTAACGTCCTCTCTCACGCGCGTTGCTGTTTCGCCTGTTTTTACAAGAGCAAAAAAAAAAAAAAAAGACAAAATATACATTAAGATCTTTGTCCTAACATTTTTCCCAGTTTGAAATATCCACCTGCATCCAGCTGATAATAGAACAAAGTATCTTTTATTCCTCTGTTCATATGGTTATTCTCCAACCTGCCACCTGGAAGTTTCTGGCTTTTTCTCCAGAGAATAATTTTTCACCTGCACTTTGAACAGAGCTATTACCTTAAAGAAAGAAGTATGACGTGTCTTTTGGCAGCATAAGTTATTTTTTCTTGTATCTTTTCTGCTTTTAAAAAAATGAGTCAAGTTTTATTTTTAATCACACTTTTATTACCTTTTTCCAAAAACAAGCAAAAAATCCCCTCCAACAAATCACATCCTATACTGCTGTGTTTACACTGTAGACTTCTTAATCCCTTATGTAAATATATGTATTCTGAAGTAATGTCTTTAGAAAAGAATGCTATTTTTAGTATTCTGATGATAGCTAAATCTTCATTATCAATGTAATGCTCTATAAGAAAAGAAAATCAGTTTTCAGAGTTGTCAAATATCAAGATAAGCACACAGCTTGTCTTTCCAAATCATCTGAAACAAAAAGAAACCTCAAACATTACAGTAACTTAAGATAGTGCACTATACCACACACATAATGTGGCCAAAACTGATTATTTTTGATAGACATTAGTTATCACAATTCTTTTCCAAAGCAGGAACATAAAAAGTAAAATTCAAAAGTTTCAAACATGTTATTTGGAACGTTCACTTCTTGGCAGTTAGTTTATCTTCACTGTTGACTGGGATTATGCCACTGCATTCTTCTGTCTTTGACACGGGATGCTTTATGAAAGCACGTCTAATTACATCAATATCACGTCCTAAATGATCCATCATGGTCGATACAATCGAAGGTGGGCCCTCTAAGTCTATCAAAAAATACCTGCAATGAGAAACATACACACAATTAAAAAAGAAAAACACTGTTCTGTGGGATTTCTTTAATGAAACTTGCTAATCTTTTCTTACATTTTGGTACTAGAATTGGTTTAAATAAAAGCTCAGTATTATCTTGATTTCAAATCAGAAAAGTTCAGTTGAAGCAGGCTCAGCCTGAACTTTTCTTCATTGTACATCACTGCTTACCCAAGGACATTAAAAGAGAGCTTACTCTTCTTGTACCTATTCCATTCATTTCCACACCTGGATTAAAAAGAAAGGGTGGCACATTCATTTCGCCTACAACAAGCATTCCCCTTCTTCAAATTCACAGCGTTGTTTCATTGGAGAACAGTTGCCAGTGGGAAACATCTCAAGCTCGTAGACATACAGGCACTTTTCTTCTTTTAAAGCTTGGCTTCGGGGCCGACTGGAAATTAAAACAAGGCAGCAAAAGAAACCCAAGGAGACGGACTTATCCCAAATTAGGCGCATCTTTGATACGACCACGCCTTACGTTTTCAAGCCTAGGGTGCAAGCTGAAGCAGCGTACAGGCGATGCCCGCTTGTGCGGCTGGCCCTTGGTGAGCATACTGTCGTGCTGACCTTGGCGGGGCCGGAAAGGTCTTCCACGCGTGCACAGCACATATAAAACACTCCGCTCCAGCATCCACCGCACAGCCATCTGACATCTATAAAGGAAAAAATGGCCACCTACCTACAGGAAGGGGAACGTTGCTCCCCATTAAGAGCTTAGGTCACCGAGGCCACTTCTGCATGAAACTCCTTTGCTGAAGAAGTGAAACTTCTTCAGGAGCTCAACCATAATTTTGCAAGAGGCTTTTAAAACTACAGTACGCCCAAAGAGGCAAAGAGGCCTGCTGCACTTCATGAGCCCCACTTCAGACAAGGGACACAACTACACGCTGCGCATTAACTTAATTCCAGACACGCAAATTCTGTCTCTTAACACGAGATGTACCTTAAATTCAGCAGCAGCATTATGTCTTTTGTTCCTGCAAGTTATGAGCAACCTAGTGCCAGCCACCATGCTAATGAAAAAAAGAGTGAGCCACAGCACTGGCCATTCTTCCTCCCTCGAAAAGCTGTGAATGAACCAGCATTGTCAAAGGACCTGTATCCAGGTCACTTTTAAATCCCTCTGTCTGCATTTGACATGGCACTAACTATAGTACAGTGAAAAGACAACGCAACTGTCTCAGAAAGCCTGCTGAATAGAACTAACTACACACCTCGTTTCCAAGACTGGCAGTAATTTAAAAGGCTAAACATACAGCCCAGCACTTCCCACATACCTATTTCATTTTATTCTTTACACACCCTCTTATTAAATCTCCCCTTTTCCTCCTAGTCCACTCAGGTACACCTCCCCATCAAGCACTGGTATCACCCGATAGTGATATCCCTTAAATTGAGTCACATTACCCAAGCAGGATCAAGCATCCCAGTTCACTTTAATGACCGGACCTAACAGAGAGGAATTTGTTCTGCAAGAGGTATGGATTCTTGTTAAGTCAACTGTAGCATGAGCATCACACTTCACAGCCCACCTTCATAAAGGTAATCTTGAGCGCTAAGTCCCCACGTCTAGAGTCTTGAGCAGGAAGTACGGGAGGATGGAGTCAGGAACAACCGACACACTCGTGCTCTTCATGCCGCATGGAGTTCAGTTTTGTCCAACTAAACACGTTACCTCAAAATATGACACACAGAACAGCCCTATTGGGCCAGAAATGACTCAAGCAGCGTGTGTTGGATTATGGCACAGGGGTGGAATCCACCCATGGAAAACGGGGCGAAGAAATTTCCCCATAGCCAGACATCCTAATTCTGAAAATTTCAATACCCACAATTCAGCTCTGAAGTATTTTTTTCAGAAAGACCAGGCTGAAGCACTGAATTCTTGCGCATGAGGGGTCTGAGGGAGAAGAGTCTCCCTGCAGCCTGTACTGAATCAATGAGTCCTCCCAAAGACATGCCCAGCTGGTGCGGGCTGTGGCCGAGCATCCCCGAAGCCAAGGGACCGGTGCCAGGTCACGTCAGCAAAGGTGCTGCTCCTCGGACTGCAGCAGGGCCACTGGGAGCTACAGAATAACTTGCCTCAAGAAGGATTTGGAGGAATTCTGGTGGGCTCTGTCCCCCTCGCAAACCCTCACAGGCTTCAACAGGGAACAGGATGCGGCTTAATATATTTGGAAAACTGAACTGCCGACCGTTTTCTGGCCTCCAGGATTAGGAGATGACACCTGGTTAAAAGTTTAGGGAGAAAAACAATTTTTAAGCTTGGACAATTAGTTAGAAATACGGCACAGCAACATCTGAAGGATGCACGCCCCTTAAAAAGGGAAAGTCATTTTTTCTGTTAAAGCCATTAAAAGCCACTGGTAAATTTAACAGATGACACTTAACTCTTCTCCTTGGGAAGAAGCCTTCCAAATCCTCTCACAGTTGCAACTAACAGAAAGGAAGATGGGGGCGGGGGGGGAAAAATTGTAACTGGTGTCCCACCACCACTCTCATGCCCCCTTCCCTCAGCGAGAGCTGATTCTGCAAACCGCGCTCTTTGCCGCACCATTTCAGTCCCACCATTCCTTGGGAATTTCATTTCATTTCTGCTTGCGAGTCCTATGCTGCTCTTCATTGTGTTCCTAAAACGACAAGGGCTTGGTTGTTTTTTTTTTTTCCCCTCCAAAGGCTGCTTTGCAACTTTGTGCTTTCTCTCACATTAGCAAAGGGTGGAAATTTCCACTGACGCACTGTTGATAACTGAAGGAGAAGAGGGGGATGGGAGGATGAGCTGTTGCAGCATATCTTTATGACTCCTTGCAGAATAGGTTATTTTATCTGAGGATACAAAACTGCAGTAATTGGGGACAATGAGAGTTTTTTAAAAACAACCATCACTCTTCAACGTTAACAAGCAACGATTGCCTTCCTGTGCCAAAAAAAAGAGAGAAGGAAAAGAGAGCCAGCATTAAAAAAAAAAAATAGTTTCTTCTCTTTCTTTAATGAAGAAATAAACAGCTACGAAAGCAATAGCCAAACACAACTGACAATGTAATCCCTGAGGAGAGCTTCAACCCTTTCCCCCCAAATATATATATATATTTAAATCAGCTGTCACGAGGCCGTGGGCTTTTTTTAATCCACCCTCCATAAGGCACGCAGCAACCTTAATTTCAGGCAGTGATCTATGACCCGATACACAACGCTGTAGCTACTGTTTGCGTAGTAAACAAACTCAAATCCCAGAGAGATGTGAAGACAGGGAAAAATACAGGAATGCAGGAGGGAAACCACTTCATTCTTGCAAGCAAAAATGCAAAAGCATTTAGGCTCCCTAGGAGTCAGCCGAGTCATCAGGGGAGAAATGCAGGAAAATTCCACTGATTCACTACGAGACCACAGTTATTTTTGTCATCCTGCTCGACTGTAAATAGAAGGATGATTTAAATACAGGAGGGCAGACTGAAACGTATTAAAAAAATGCATTAACTGAAAAAAATTCTTTAAAAAAATCATATCATCTCAAATGAAGGAGAACATGCCTTTGCTTATGAGAGGGGGAATTTTTTTTTTAAAAAAACAGGTTTTATCTAATGTTTTTTAACATATTCAAGCCAGAAATTGTTTGAACCTTGAGTCCTAAGGATACTCAAATATTTTGTTTTCAAATGGACAGTCTAAGACTTCAAAAGAACCCTGAAGAGCACCCGAATCAAAACTCGCTTTTAAATCCTCCCAGAATACGACTCCATCAGCCTGGGGAGCCCAGGGAAAAGCACAGGTACAGTTGACTCTGAGGTGGCTTTGTGGTCCCCTGGTTGTGCCCAAAAAGTGCCTGTATGGTTAAATTCCTCCTTTAGCTCGTGGCAGTAAGACTATGTAAGCTTCCTCAGGGGGGAGGTGGAAGGTGCAAAGGCCAGAAAATGCCCCTGACAAACAGGTAGAGGGGAAGCATTGAACAGGGAAACAGGAAAGCACATGGAGGAAAGCGAGCTGCGGCACTCGGGGGAGAGCAGCTGGACATTCACTCTCACCAAGGTAATCCTACAGAAATGGAACCGTTTTGCCACCAGAATCACCACTTCACCTTTGGTACCTCCATGTTGCTCTGAAGAGAAGTAGTTTGCTTTTCTTCTCAACCCCGGTGGCAGCTGCCCTTCCTCGGCAGGGCAGGCGGGCAAGTTCATGCTCTGAAGAATTACCGTCTTGTAGCTGGAAGGACTACTGCACCTGCCACTTTTAGCTTTTAAAACACAGGTAGGGAATAGATGGATGTTCCTTGAAAATCACAAGGACAGCCACTGGGAACTACCCAATCAAACCCAAAAATCTGGTGCCTTAGTGACTAGAATGTGCCACAGCAATGACGCAAATGACCCATAATGAGCAAGTACTTGGGGGAAAAATACATTTTACCATCCACAGTCTCCAGAAATTTCATTTGCCAAATTCTATACATAGACGCCTGTTATTAAGCTAATCAAATAATGGAGAGACATTTTGGAGCATTGCAGAAAAATACGAAATATCCTGTTAACAACGCAAAAGAGAAAGCAACCCAACGTATTGGGAGTATCTGAAAAGTCACGCTCACTCGGCAGCGTTTGAAAAGTTTGCAAAATTATTACGAGCAGGGCTGAAGTTACGCAGTGAGTATTAATTCTGCTTGTGTCACTTCTCTGCCTTCTGTATAATTCACAGCTTAAAGTCCCCCCAAATGGTCACTGATTCCCACCCCCTTATTTAAGAGCGGCCACCACATTTAATCAACGTGCTTGCACAAGGATGGCGCAGAATTTAGTGTGTCAGAAAACGACGTTGGCACCTCAACATCACCAACTACTGCACCATGCTGTTTCTTCTGAAAAGCATCAGAATTGCAAATTGCACTCCCACAGAAAAGGAGAGGGGGAAAAAAAACAGTTTCAGGGCTCTGATACCTGCAGCACCTGCGCACTTACATCTATGTGCATGTGG